TTGTATTGTATAAAGTGACTCAAATATGTAAATGCAATGTAAAATATTTCTACAAATGTAATGTAATGTATGTTAATATGAACATTAAGACAATTAAAGAAATGCAAACCTGCTGCTTTCCTTCTACATTGTTTGTTCTATATTTCTCTGTGGTACTAATTTTGTAATTCTCAATATTTTTCTCAAAACTATGAACTCACAAATACTTATTTGCAGCTAAATGTGTTTTGGGGCATCCTTTCATATTTATTTTTATTCTTATCTCTTTATTATCATAAGAATCATACCATACCATGTTTTTTGTTTTTTGTAACCTTTTTCATTTAAGGTTTGTCTTCAGGGAAAATTTGTTATTGGGAGTGAACATTTTCATTTAATTTTGTGTCTATGGCGACTTACATTGTCAAAGAGACCCTAAAGTTATTACTTAAGTAGAGTCCACACTCAGATCTTATATAAGTGTGTGTGTGGTGTGTGGGGGGGCACATGCCCAGCATGGTTGCGGACAAAGGCATGTGCTAAGGCAGAGTGCAAGATGGCCTGGAGCACCAGGCAGACAGGTACCTGCTGGCCGGAGGCAGAGCTGTGAGGCCAGACAAGGGGAAGAGAATTGTGGCCTGGCAAGGAGAGGGACAGGAGCTAAAAGTTTATAGGTCCCAACTTCTGGTGAAAAAATGGTTTCGGTCAGGACATGGAATGCTACATCAATGCTGTTTAAATAAAGGATGTTCCGTTCTTTTGATTGTCTTAATAAATGTTTGGATTTTCATGGTAGATAAACTAAAGGAACAGGATTCATAATTTTGAACTACATATTAGGTGTACTCTTGTCTGTAGATCATTAGTGTAAATTTGGCTCTGCTCTTTAAATTGCTTTCTAGAAATTCTTGGAAATTCTATAGAAATATAACACCTGAAATGCATTGGGTTGTTAGCTTATTAAATAATGTTGTTGCTAAGATAAACCCATAAAAACTAAATAGTCTCTTACTGATAAAGAGGTTACAAACTTACTTTTTCCAGTAAATAAAATACAGCTAAATCATTTGGTCCACATTGTTAATAATTGGCAATTTGCATTAATGTGTTACTTGGGATCTATAAAAGAGGATCCTCTTTTTAAGATTTTATAAAAATACTGGAGTATTACCTAAAGTTACCTCCTCAAATCCTATAGAGATTGTATTTAATGCTTTAATTATTTATTTATTTATT